GTTTAGCTGCCGATTTACGTGGTGGTGGTGGTGTTGGTAGCGACTCACCCAAGAGTCCTTCCACCAAAGCTATCCTTGAAGTCTTCCTCTCCCAAGACATAACTCTGCAGTTCATGCAGGCATCCTCTGTGAGGCCTTGTTTCAGGTGTTCCAAGCCTAAACAAGAAGGGCAGCAGTCGTGCCCATCATCCTTCTGCAGAGTGGCCATGCACAATGTGCAGGCATGAGATACTTTTTCCATCCTAGCCCGGATAAAATTCCTGTAAGCCGAACGAAAACACTCTGACTATCACTATATTCAGTAGAGCCTTTGTGTGTAAATAAATATATATGTATCCTTAATGTTAAACGTATACAATATACACACCTATTACATGAATGAATGCAAACTAAGCCTACACGCATTCAGCAGAGCATTTAGTAGAATCGCCGATAGATACACACAGATACCGAACAGAGCGCACCCACTCTTAATGCGGTCTCGTACAGCTGTGAGATACTACAATACTATCCGGTAGCACCACAGAGCGAAAATACTCTATCTAGCCACCAAACAATTCCGGGGAAAATGAAAACGAACCCAGAGCATAAATGTACCAAACTCACCACACTGTATTCTGATTAATTCAACTGAATCCGATGCAGCCTCTGGAGGACGTGCAGTCGCGAAACACCAACAGCTGATCTGTTGGGAAGCTGAAAAACGGATTCAAAGTGTCTTCCTTTAATATTCTCTGACCTGTAATACATGCACGCGAGAAGATTATAGGGACAGTCAGTCTGCAGTAAGTCACGGGGTTAAATAGGGGAGGACCCCCGAGTCATCCTGGCCACGAGGGACTTTGTTTGTATTAGACTCGACCTGTGCATTGCGATGAGATAACATTCAGTGTGAAGCACTGCCTCTGGCGGTCAGAAAGAATGAAATAGAACTGTTTATAAATAAAACAAACAAGTGCAATTTAAGTGAGAAACCATATGAAGGCAACATCTGCCACATTATGGTAAGTGCAATATATAAAACTGTGATCTTTGAAAGTAAAAACAGTGAAAGAAGATTCATTCTTACCTTTTTTGAGTGCACCAACTTGTTGTTTACCTCCACCTCAAACCAGCCTGTGGTTGAGGGTGTGCCCTCACCGGTCTGAGGATGGGAAATTATCAAATTAGAAAGATAATTATAAGAAAACAATACGTTGAGCTTTTGTACATTCACATTTAACAATACAGGTTTTATTTTCAAAATGACAACATTATAAACAAATGACAATCATCAAAAACACATACGATCTCAAGTTCGCCTGGGAATTCATCCTCAAGCAACGTCTTGAGTTTGGTGAACTGTTCGCAAAACAGAAGAGACATATAGCTGGACAAGATTCTCCCACAAGTTATGTTATGTTATGTGTTGATAATGTGAGTAAATAAAACTTACTTTGGGCCTGTACCCTCATCCACCACTAGGAGATGACAAACACACACACAATTATTTAAATAACATTCACCTCATTGGACAAACAGTAATTTGCATGGTAACTATGTTTTTAACCTATGGGACTGTTTCGTGAAAAGAGAGATCCAGTGAATGAGGAATGCATTTATTTACAGTAACCTTCCTGATTCCAGTCTTGTAATCTACAAGACATGGCTATAGATTTAATCTATGCTGGAAACCAAGCAATTCAACTGGACAATGCTGCTAAACAGAAACGCACGGGTGTTCGTGAGCAACCAGAACAACAACAGCAACGCTGCCTGTTCTTGTCGTGATTGTTGCCTGACAAAAATTAAAAGATCTTTAATCGGTTAATCGATTTAGTTTTTTGTTTGTTTTTTTTCGAAAAAGTTCAATTTTGGCGTGTAGTTTAAGTCAGTCATTTGGATTCTTAAAAACGTTAAAAGGCGAATAGCTGAATTTAGCCTCAACAGTGAGTCGAAATAAATAGCACAATGACCTACCAGTAAATGATATGAACTTTGACGGTCATGTTGCTGATAGTCGCTGCGGTTCTTGACTGGATCAAGCGGTGGTTGTGTTGTGGCGAGTGCAGACGCTGAACTGAGCGAATTGCTTTCGGTTCTGGAAAATATTTTAATGCTGTTTTCTGGACTGTTATGAAAGATTTGAGGCGGGGCAAGTGGCGCGCCCCTCGAGAGATTTTATGTACTTCCGGTACACCACCCTGTAGCTAAGAGTGATTACCAAACAAAGGAATTTTCAGTATAGTTACGCAATTATGTCAGTTTACAGTTTGTTTGCAATCAGCCAGTCATTTTCGTAACAGGCAGTTTAGGACTTGACATTTTGTTCTGCAGTAAATGGACTTGACTTGAAATATTGATATTCATCAGTTCATAGGTTTCCTGAATATGTCTGTTGTACATGTTATAGTTGTCAGTCATTATTATTACATATAATAATATACAGCCTCTACAAAGTAACATCCCACAATATGCTCAAAATCATAAAAAGAAAATATTTTGCTACAGCTCATGAACACACAAAGAGCTCTACCATATACGTTTAATTACTTATTGATCAACAATTTTTTGAACAAACAAAATTTCACTTGACAAATAGTATTTGAAATGCCAGTGTTGACATTCGTGTGCTTCATGGCAACAGTCTCTAGGGCGTTTCTGCAGCCAAGCAGGTTTCACAGAACAAGCTGTTCTCAACCTTTGGGCAATCTGAACCATCAGAACAACTTGTCTTTTGAGATTTTTTCTGTCTATGGAGGATTTATACATCCAAACTTTGCAAGCAATAAGTGATTTTAGGTATTATATGAGTGAATACATTCGTTTAATATTATTAATGACTTAAATGTTGAATAAACACTGTCATCATAAACATTAAGATATGCAGACTAATCATTATTGTCTCTAATCTCTGTGCGGAGTTCTTGCGCTATCTTTTGGATGGTGGCACCAGTTGCGCAGGTAGCTCATGAGGGAGCCCAAAGCCGTCCAACTTTACCTCGATGAGATGGCCGGCCAAAGCAAACTCTTCATCGTCTAACATGCCATCACGGTCCACATCTGCGAGCTTCCAGATTCGTCCTAGAACTGAGCTGGGCAGATGAGTGCTCATCATCCAGCCCTTCACTTTAGACCCACTCAGCTTTCCCTCATGAGGCGAGAGGTTGTAAAAGATCTCATCATACTTTGGTTTATCTTTTGATACCACCCATTCTTCATCTGAGACATGATCACTTTCTCCATTGGATCCATAGTGATTAAATGGGTTGCCCACAATAAAAGGTCCCCTTTGTGACCCTAGAAAAGGTCCTCCTTGCACTAAAAGTCGGTCAGCTGTTTCTTCTTCTTCTTGGCGCAGAAGTGGCATTAGCTTGGCTATGTCCGTGTTTAGGAGCTCATCCAGCCCTGCTAAGAGCTTAGGCTTGAGGGCTTTAAACTTGAAGTCATGACTCATGAGTCGCTCCTGTGTGGGATGTAAGAATTAAGATGCTTATCAGACAGATATCATATATGTTTGCTCAATTTGAACTCTCATGCATATAATAGTGGCAGAAATGCATTTCACAATGGGCATGCTTGATTGTAAAGTATCTGGACACCTGCATCTTGGCACAATCTGGAAAATCTCCAGGTGAAATCTGAGATCTCTGTTGGATTCTTGAATAGATGATAGGAAGGTCATAGATTAGATCTCTCTTCTTCTTTTCTCTGCAGAAAACTAAAGGCATTTCTTCTTTTAGAGAGCTAATGATATAAGTATGGGCCTGTGGGTGAAGAAAATAAATAAAATAAGACAGATTAATGATTTAGTAGGACTATATCAACTGACTGAAACAAAACAAGCAGATGGATGCAGACCGATTTCAATCACAGCTACTACATTAGTCACAAAGTGTATTTTGTTTTCTCAAAAAGAAACCTTTCACACATTTCATGTTGTGACCTTCAAGAGAATCACACTTGCATTCTCAAATAAAAGCACATATTGTGTAGTAGAGATACAGCATATTAAATAAGAGGTGGAGAAAAATGTAAATTCTGTCATTTACCCACCCTCATGTCATTCAAAACCCATAAGACTTTAGTTTATCTTCGAAACAACAAATGAAGATATTTAAAGATATGTAGAGATATGTAAGATATGTAAGGATATACATTTTCTGTATATGGTAAACAGATTTAATTTATACTTTTATTCACATACAAACATTGATGAACATTTGTTCCCAGTTTGCTTTATTTGAAACAGGAGGTTCCATTTTTAATTCAAAAAGCTAATAAAGTTTAGTTTAAATCATGATTTGCTACTTTATATCAGTAGTCAAAGTAGGTGGTATGTAGATGTGTCAAACTTATTTTTGATTCATTTTCCTAGAAGAGAAAGACTGTTGTTGAATGTTGATGTGTCGTAATTATTTTTTCTTCTTTTTTTCTAGAAGAGAAAGACTGTTCAATGACAACTTTGTCAACGTTTCTGAATACACTAGCATATAGATGACCTCAAAACTAACGGACATGGTTTAATAGTTACTGAAGTTCACTTGTGATTTCATGGAACCAAATCAAGAGTGGAAAGCACAATGGTCCTCACCCTCACAAGTCGTGCTCGCTTCACCAGATCATTGAGTTTTCTCAGTGCAGAATTTCTTGGCAGGTTCTGAATGTCTGCAAAAAGGTCTTCCTCTTCTTGCTCAAACAGTTTTCGATTGTCTGTCATACGCATTGGAGAGGACCAAAAGGAGCCAATGTAGACCCTCAGAACCTCTGGTGTGCAGAACACCTTGCCGAGTGACCACATGAGTGCGCCATAGACTCGCATCAGCTCCTGGGAGTCCACCATGTCAGCCTTGTTGAGCACCACTCTGAGCTTATCCTCATTGCCTCGCAATGCCATTATAGTGTGTGAAAACTCATCAGAGATCTCTAGTTTGTGTGCATCACACAAGAGGATGATGCGGTCAACATGCTCTGCAAACCAACGGATGACCGCTGGAAAGTCATACCCTGAAAGAAGAATAAGATGTTGAAGAAATTCACAGGTGTTGGATCAGATATATGAGACACTTTAGTGTCACATAACGCGCACCAAAGGGCACTGCAGTCTTTTAAGGGTGACATCAGTGAGAAGAAATTCAACTCCACTTTTTCACACTCTTAAAAAACAAAAGGTTCCAAAGGGTTTTTTTGCAGTGGTGCCATAGAAGAACTATGCCAAAGAACATTTCAGTGAATGGTGAAGAACATTTTAATAATCTGAATTACCGTTTCCACTATAAAGAACCTTTTAAAAAGTTCCATGGATGTTAAAGGTTCTTTGTGGAACCACAGACGCCAAATATGTTTTATTGAATGTACTTACACATTAAGTATAAAAGAAGGCTTAGGTTGCATATTATGATATGCATGCAAGTCGTTTTATTTCTTAATTGGCTGCTTCCAGCACTGTTTATGACACTTTGTACCTCTGCTCATTTTGCGTTTGGCCACAGACAGGATCCCTGGTGTGTCAATGATGCTGATACTCTCCAGGACTCGGTTGGGCAGATGCACACACTGGAATCTGAAAAAGTTTCATGCAAATTCAGTATCTTTAAAAACTGACATAACATGGGAAAAACCCATCCACAGATGTTCCCTTAAAGGGATGCAGTCAGCTGAGCCAAATAATTATGCATTAGCTAATGTTTTCCTCTCTTGGCTATGTCCACCCTTTCACAGGAGTGATTTCTGCTGGCGGAGTCATTTTGACTCTTTCAGTCCAAGTTCAACATACTTGTCCCCCTGTGATTTGTATTTCTTATTGCGTTATTGCTTCTGTCTCACTCACCGATTGAGGAAGGTTGTTCCAAAAGGGCTGAGTTTGCGGAAAGGCTTGTTGGGATCAACAGTTAAAGCATTGCCATGAATAATTCCCTCAATCTCTCCATGCATTATGGCAGTGAAACTGTCAGTTGTGGGCTCTGGGCCTATACGGCTTCCTGGATACTCTTGTTCAAGAAGATATCTGCCACACATAAGAGACAAATTAGGGTGAAAGATGACCCAGACATTTCTTGAGAGATTACAGATTACCTGGATACAGATGTGAAATTAATCTTAATGCTATTATGATTACAATGGTGGCCAAAATTATTAGAACGCTAGTATTTTCACCAGCAAAAAAATGGTTTTAAGCCAGTTATTTCTATCTTTTGCTGTAGTGTCAGTAGAAAATATAAGTTTACATTTCCAAATATTAATTTTGTCATTAAATGTAATAATCCAGTGAGATTTTTGTTTGCACAAGGAGTCTTTGGCAAAATGAATGTTTGGAAATGTGAACTGATATTTCCTACTGACACACTACAGCAAAATGTGACCCTGGACCACAAACCCAGTCATAAGTAGCACGGGAATATTTGTAGCAATAGCCAAAAATACATTGTATGGGTCAAAATTATAGATTTTTCTTTTATGCTAAAAATCATTAGGATATTAAGTAAAGATCATGTTCCATGAAGATATTTTGTAAATTCCCTACCGTAAATATATCAAAACTTCATTTTTGATTAGTAATATGCATTAAGAACTTCATTTGGACAACTTCAAAGGCGATTTTCTCAAAAAAATTTTTTTTTTGCACCCTCAGATTCCAGATATTCAAATAGTTGTATCTCGGCCAAATATTGTCCTATCATAACAAACCATCGATGGAAAGCTTTTAAAAATTGCCACTTAAGACTAGTTTTGTGGTCCAAATATAGAAATAACTGACTCGAAACCATTTTTTACCTGTTGAAAATACTAGTGTTCTAATAATTTTGGCCACCACTGTATAATGCTAGTATGATTTTAATTTTATGTAGTCAATTGATTAATTGACATGTAACAAACTTTTGAAGTTAATTTATTTGTATAGCACTTATTATTGTGTATACTGTTCTGAAGCTAGATGCCATTATAGCAATGTTCACCTGATAAAAGTGGTCTTGCCTGTAGAGCACTGACCCACCACTAGTATCATGGGCTTGTTGTCAAAATCTGCATCTTCAAGGCTTGATGAGTGGAAATCGGAGAAGTCATAATACTTCTCCAGCGGGAGCAGTTTTTGCCGGTAGAGGGTCTTCAGAGCTTCAGTAACTGTATGAACTTCCTTCA